CACCTCTTTGAGGATGGGCTTGCCTGCTCTGGGTTACAGTGAGAGGCTGTGGTCTCCTGACAGGGTTCACCCTATGGTTAGCACCACAACTCTGAGCCCCCTGGGAGGGAGCTTGCCTAGCAGAGGACTAGTCCCATCTGTTTCTTCAGCCTGTTGACTCAGCTTCCCTGGGTGACATTTCCTCATCTTGGTCACCAGGTGACTGTTGAGAGAGAAGCACTTGAAACTCCATGGCAGGAACCTCACCTATAAAAAAGTGAAAAAAAACAAAACCAGTCATTAGAGAAGCTGCCACAAAATAGCCTCGTAACTCCTTGCCAGAGGTCTGGGCTCCCTCTTGCCTTTCGGCCACAACACGAGGCTGGGTGCCGATGTCCCAAATCCGCCCAAACATTAATTTCTCCAACAAATATTTGAGCACCTGCTGTGTGCCAGGCACTGTGTTAGATTCTGAGGAGGAACAAATGAACAGAACCCCGGTTTCTGCCCTTTCTGGTCCTCCAGTAAGAACACAAACAGGTTACCATAACCATGTAATTTAAAGTTGTGGTAAGTGCCTAGAAAGCGAAGTTCCAGGTGCTTTGAAAGTATGTAAGTGGGGGAGCTGGTTTGGGGGGAGTGAATAGGGAAAACCTCTCTGCGGGAAGGACATTTAATCTGATCCCTGAAGGATCAGCCAGGAGAAGAACTGGGGAAGGGGGGCAGCACCCCAGGAAGAGAGTACAGCTTTGAAGGAAGAGAACTGGGGTACTGTAAAAAAAAAAAAAAAATCCTAATAATGAGAAAAGCAAAAGCACAGAAGCAGAGTGCGTGAGTGTGAGAGGTCTGTAGTTGGAGGCCGCATGGCTAGCAGGGGCCAGATCCTGCAGGGCCTCGAAAGAACAGGAGCGACGTCAGTCCTCGTTGCTGGGATGACCCCCGTGTTGTGGAGGATGGGGATGTCTTCGCAGCTCCTAGCCTGGTACCAAACAAAATGCACAGCAGATGCTAATTCCTTCTCACCACTGGGCTTGCAAATGTAAGGGCTGTTTGGGAAAAAGAATTTCCTAAGGGCCTGTGTGTATGGCACAAGTGTCGAGAGGTGAGTCTGGAAAGGTCAAATTGGGGCCAAATCATGACACATTTTCTATTCCACATGCGCACTGGGGAGCCATGGCAGGTGCTGTGGCGGGAGGAGTAGTATGATCAAAGGGTGCTGCGGGTTTGGGATGGATGGCGAGGCCGGAGCGGGCAGGGAGAGTGCGCCTTTGGCTGAGTTTCAAAAGCTAGGTGGCCACATGCGAGGCTGCAGCACCTTCCCTGCGCGTTCTCCCAGGTAGTGCCGCGAGTGTTTGGGCGCATGGTGGGTAAGAGCCGCGAGGCGGTGGCCCAGGCCATGGTGCTGGAGATGTTCCGAGAGGAGGATTACTACAATGACGACGTCCTGGACCAGATGGGTGCTAGCATCCTGGGCGTGGAGGGCCCGCGGCGGCACCCGGACGAGCCTCCCGAGGATGAGGTCTTTGAGCTCTTCCCCATGTTCATGGGGGGACTCCTCTCTTCGTACAACCGGGCCGTGCTGGCTCAGCTAGGCTGCCCCATCAAGACCCTGGATGCCCTGGAGAACGCCCAGGCCATCAAGAAGAAGCTGGGCAAGCTGGGCCGGCAGGTACTGCCCCCGTCCGAGCTCCTTGACCACCTCTTCTTCCACTATGAGTTCCAGAATCAGCGCTTCTCTGCCGAGGTACTCAGCTCCCTGCGCCAGCTCAACCTGGCGGGTGTGCGCATGACGCCCCTCAAGGGCACAGTGGTGGCGGCCGTCCTGGGCAGCGGAAGGCATGCCCTGGACGAGGTGAACTTGGCCTCATGTCAGCTGGACCCTGCTGGGCTGCGCACACTCATGCCTGTCTTCCTGCGTGCCCGGAAGCTGGGGTGAGGACCCGTCTTCAGGCAACGGGCCTGAAGACTGGAAAGGGTTGGGGGTGAAGGGGCGGGAAGAGAAGGTGCTAGGGAGACCAAAGGTGGGGAGGAGGGAGCAGGGGATGGGATGAAGAAGTCTCGTGTGTGTGGAGGTGATGAGCAATGGGAGGGAGGGCACAGTGGGTGGACAGGCTCCATGCTGAGCTCCTGCCTTGCTTTTCCCCTTCCCTCCGGCCACCTGCTGTTCCAGCTTGCAACTCAACAGCCTGGGCCCCGAAGCCTGCAGGGTCCTCCGGGACCTGCTGCTGCATGACCAGTGCCAGATGACCACCCTGCGGTGAGTGTTTCGGTCGGGGGGGGGCCTGGAGGGAGGTTCTGGCCATCCTGGTGGCAGGCTGAAGTCAAGGGTGAGCTCACACCTGGCGCTGGCCCACCTGTACTCTGGTAAAGGGCGGGGGGGAGCCTAGACCCCAGCCTGCCCCGCTCTCCCCAGGTCCAGTACAAGCAGCAGCGTAAAGGAACGATGCTACCAGGAATAGGTGCTCAGAAAGCCTCTCAAGTGGCTAAAACCAGCGTGGCGGGGGAGGGGGGGATAATACCCAGGCCGGTTGCCTGGTAACAGTGCCAAGGATGCCCTCCCAGGATGTTCCCTGTGGCCTCACAAGGATGACCCTAATGCTGGGCGCTCAGTAGATGCTTCCAAAGTGCTGACCGATTTACTAGGAACCCAGAAGCCTGGTTGGAGGAAGGGGAAGTGAATGAGGAGGGGGGAGGGCCCCGGGGCAGGGGCATCTGGGGGGGGAGGTAAGAAAAGGAGGAAGAGGAGAAATAGTAAGGATGAAGAGAGGGGAGTCAAGGGAGGAGGAGAAGCCGGCTCCCACCCTGCTCTCCCTCCCCTGCAGTGCACACCGCAGCCCCTGCGTCTTCCTTCTCTTCTCCCGGCCCGCATTTCTTTACGGGCTCACCTTCACCCCAGCCTGTGTGTCCTTTGGGTCCAAGTCCTGACGCCTACTGCAGGGGCACCGGCCACAGTCCCTCATAACCTCAGGGTGTTTGTGGCTGTAGGCTGTCCAACAACCCGCTGACGGCGGCTGGTGTGGCCCTGCTGGTGGAGGGGCTGGTGGGGAACAGCTCACTGACGCATCTGTCCCTGCTGCACACGGGCCTCGGGGACGAGGGCCTGCAGCTGCTGGCTGCCCAGCTGGACCGTAATCAACAGCTACAGGAGCTGAATGTGGCCTACAACGGTGCTGGCGACACGGCGGCCCTGGCCCTGGCCCAGGCTGCCCGGGACCACCCTTCCCTGGAGCTGCTGCAGTAAGTCTGGCCCCTGGGCCCACTGTCCCACCCTGGCCAGAAGCTGTTCCCAGCCCTCCGGCTCTCCCTCCCTGTCTCCACCACTTTTTTTCCTGCCGTAGGGCCTGTCCTCTATCCCTGCCTTCTCGAGGATCTTCGTGGACCGGCTTCTGAATCAACCCATCCCTCTGTGATTGGCCCTTCTTACCCTGCCCGGGTCCCCTACTACCGTTTCTCTTAGGGTCCTGGTGGCCCCGTTCTTACTGTCCCTGGTCCTGCTGAATTCAGGTGTCATCGCTGCCTCCTGTTGACCCCCACCCTCCGTCTCTGGCTCACTGCAGACACTTGCCCCATCACATTGCGTAGCTGGGGGATGAGTTATGAGAATTCCCCTCTCCGGCCAGCACCCTCCGCCCTCTCTCAGAGCTCTGCTGAGTGGCCTCTTCTCTTCTCTCTCCTCCTAGCCTCTACTTCAATGAGCTGAGCTCAGAGGGCCGCCAGGCCCTGCGGGAATTGGGCGGCACTGCTAAAGGGGGCGCTCGGGTTGTGGTGTCGCTGACGGAGGGGACAGCGGTGTCCGAGTACTGGTCGGTGATCCTTAGTGAAGTCCAGCGGAACCTCAACAGCTGGGATCGGGGCCGCGTCCGGCGCCACCTTGACCTTCTGCTTCGTGATCTGGAAGACAGCCGAGGGGCCACCCTTAACCCCTGGCGCAAGGCCCAGCTGCTGCGAGTGGAGGGTGAGGTCAGGGCCCTCCTGGAGCAGCTGGGAGGCCCGGGAAGCTGAAGCAGGGGCAGCAGTCCCCTAGCTGTGTGACCCCTGGCCCCACGATCCTTCCCTCTGTGGCCTCCTGGTTTGCACTACTGCTTCCAGAAAGATCCCTCTGGGGCTGGAGGTAAAGGAATGGGTTCTCAGGTGTCCCATGTCCATCCATGGCTCCCAAGTCTGGAATTTCCAGGGTCATGAAGCAGGCCTCCTCTCCGTTCTGTGAGGAAGACTGAGAAAGACTCCTTCAGGTGGCATTTTGGTGGCCACTTGCCCTGCGGCGCCACCAACCTGGCCTCTCTCCTCTCGGGAGCTTCTGATTGTGCCACCAGGGGGCGCACTTCTTAAGTCGCCTTTGCCAAAGGCGCGCCATCCAGCTGTGTCCGCGGGCCTGCGCCTTCTGCCTTGCTGCTCTCCAGAGGACACTGAGGATGCCCGCAGCCACTTTCCTCTCGCTTCGGTGCCTTCTCCTCCCCCTCACGTCCCCTTCCTCACCACCGTACCTGGGCTCGGTGGCTCTGAGGGCCATGTGCGCTGCCCTGCTTCCATTAAAAGCTATGTCTTCACCTACTGTGGCCTCCTCCTTGCCTGGTGCTTTCAAGAAAGGGTACTGTTTTTGGTCATTCTGGTAAACTATTGACCACTTTCTGTTGCAGGTGGTTCTCGGGCACTGGGCTCAGAGGCAGTGAGGGCCGAGGTGGGGGGGCGGCATGAATAAGATCCTGGGGGGTGGGCGGAGGCCATGCTGCGCCGTAGGACTTCTATCACCTTTTCCAACGTAACTTATCCCAGGCTCGGAATTACAGGGACCAGCAGGTGATCTGCCTTTGTCTGCCCAGAGCAGAAGCCTGGACAGCAGCGGAGTCTCCGGAGGAAGTCCGGGGCCCAGGAATGGGGGCAGGAGGAACACGCGTACTTCCCCAGAGGATAAGACTGTCCTCCCGTTAACCATTACCCCATGACTTCTAAGGCAGTGTCTTGAAGGAGGCGGGACGTGGCGGGCTAGGTGGGAGGGTCAGCTGGTTTTGATGAACCTTGTCCCTACCCTGAGCACCGGGTCGCTGGTCCAACTATGGAGGCAACTACAGGTAGGTGGCCCGGAGAAACCCTCCCGTGGGGGCTTTAGGGCAGGGAGAGGGCAGGGTGGGAGGCGGAGGCTTTGGGGACCAGGGTGTACTTGTTGTTGAGGCTTGGAGCCCCGAGGCAAAGAGACCCAAGTTAGGAGAGAAGAGGTGAGTGGGTAAGTCTGTCTTCCTGGTCCACGCCCTGTCTTGATATGCTCAGATTTCTGTGCCAGGGACTAGGAGGAGAAGGGAAGGTCCTTTTGGAGCAGAATGGAGGGGCAAACCCTGAGAGTGGGGGTTCTCCTAAGTCCTTTTAGTTAATGACGTGGAAGAGGAGTTGGGGTAGGGAGAGAATGCACCCCTCCTCCCCTCCTCCCTTCTTTACATAGCAGATCTTCAGGACACAGCCTCGTTAACGATAACTCCGTAAGTGCCAAGTGCCGCGCTGGGAGGGGTTGGGGCAAGGGGTGGAGGGAATTCAAGGTGGGGAGGCTCTTCAGCTGCCATTAGCATCTCAAGGAGAGGCTGGGACCAGAGTCCAGATGTCAGCTTGCTCCTACCTGCATCCCTCGCCTCCTTGCAGGAAGTTTGAGTTTAACCCAAAGTGGGGCATTGATAATCCTGTCCTCTCTCTGGCTGAAGACTACGACCCCTCTGGTAACCCCCTGGCCCTGGGCAACTGTTCCCTTTCCCCAGAGATACCACAGCTCCTCAAGGCCTCCCATCTCCTTGGTAACCACTGCACTCTGCCTCCCTCTGATAATAGCCTTGGTGGGGAGTAACTACGCGGAGGTAGGAGGGGGTTGGCTGTTTTCTTTTGTCCAAGCCCCTCTGCCCACGTGGTATTGGGCCTCACTGCCCAACACCTAACTGGGTAGAAGCCTGCCCGGTGTCCTATCACCAGGGCAGGGTCGTCGGCCAGGCCAAGGTGACTTGTATGTGCGCCTTGTCCCGTCCCCTCCCCCTCTTCTGTTGCCCACCTCCCCCTCTAGATCTCTGGAGCCTGCAGCGGCCTCGTTTCTGTCTGCTGAGCAAAGAGGAAGGCAGGAGTTTTGGCTTCCACCTGCAGCAGGAGCTGGGCAGGGCTGGGCCTGTGGTGTGCAGGGTGGAGCCAGGCACCTCTGCCCAGCACCAGGGTCTTCGGGAAGGGGACCGGATCCTGGGGGTGAATGACCATGTCGTGGAATGTGAAGACTATGCTGTGGTGAGGTTGGGCTGGGGGCCTCCCTGTGGAATAGAAGGACGTGCCATAGCACCTCAGGGAGAGAGAAGTCAGTCGGTCACCTCCCTGGATATATGGGGGCAGCACCCAAGCCTCAGCCTCCCTCACCTCCCAGGATCTAGGGCTGTCCGGGTGGGAATGGTTGGGTGAAGGCGTACAGAAGGAGCCTTTTACCCTGGCTCCCGGGGTGAAAAATGGAGGTTCCAGGGACTGGGAGTTGGCAAGAGGAGCTGGCCCCGACCTCATCCCCCACGCCCTCTGTTCAGGTGGTTCGCTGCATCCGGGCTAGCGGTCCTCGGGTGCTGCTGACGGTCTTGGCGCAGCACGTGCATGACGTGGCTCAAGCTCAGCAGGGCAACAGTGCCCACCTCTGTCCTCCTCTCGGCCCGCGGGTCCGGCCCCGACTATGCCACGTAGTGAAAGATGACGGTGGCTTTGGCTTCAGTGTCACCTACAGTGAGCTTAGAGGCTGGGGGGGCGGAGGCCAGGAGAGGGATCTCCGCCCTGTTCTGGGCAGCCAGTGGACCGAAACTTGCTTTTTTTGGCTTCCAGGCCATCAGGGTCCTTTCTGGCTGGTGCTGAGTCCTGGAGGAGCAGCGGAGCGGGCAGGGGTGCCCCCGGGGGCCCGGCTGCTAGAAGTGAACGGGGTCAGCGTGGAGAACTTCACTTACAGCCAACTCAGCAGAAAGGTATGGCTGTAAGTTTCCCTGTTCATTCTCATGCACCAGGGCCCCGGGGCCTTGCCTTAGGCAGCCGATTCCTCCCCCACGCACCTCATCTCCGAATTTGACCTTGTACCTCAGGCCATCCTGCCCTTTACAGTTGGTCCTAGGCTCTGCTCTCCCCCACCCTTGCTGCCTCCTTCCTGGGGCTGTGAGGAGGGCCTGCCCCTGCCTTCCCTACCCAGGTGCTTGATGCTGATGCCCCGCTGGGTCCCCACAGCTTTGGCAGAGTGGAGAGCAAGTGACCCTGCTGGTGGCAGGGCCAGAGGTGGAGGAACAGTGTCGCCAGCTGGGAATGCCCCTGGCTGCGCCCCTGGCAGAGGGCTGGGCCCTGCCCACCAGGCCCCGCTGTCTGCACCTAAAGAAAGGGCCCCAGGGCTTTGGGTTCCTGCTTCGTGAGGAGAAAGGTCTTGACGGTCGCCCTGGTGAGTAGGAGCCCCAGAGATGGGTCGGGAAGGTGTGTCTTGGGGGCGGGCACACACGGGGTGCACAGAAGACCCCAGCCCTGAGCCTCCTCCTCCGGCGTCCCCCCCAGGCTCAGTCCCTCCGGGTGCCCACGGTGGCCTGGGCTGGTGCTGGAGTTAGTTGGGGGAGGAGCGATGAGGATGTTTATGTCCCAGGACAGTTCCTGTGGGAGGTGGACCCAGGACTACCAGCTGAGAAAGCCGGGATGCAGGCCGGGGACCGGCTGGTGGCTGTGGCTGGGGAAAGTGTGGAGGGGCTGGGCCATGAGGAGACGGTGTCCAGGATCCGGGCGCAGGGCTCCTGTGTCTCCCTCACTGTTGTCGACCCTAAGGCTGACCGCTTCTTCAGCATGGTGCGAGTGAGGGGCGGGGCTGGAGTGCGGGCAGGGATGGAGCAGGGCTCACGCGGAGGGAGAAGCTACAGGTCCCGTTCTATCTGCCTCCTTCCAGGTTCGCTTGTCCCCACTTCTCTTCTTGGAGAACACGGAGGCTCCTGCCTCTCCCCAAGAAACCTGCTCGGCCTCTCTGGTTGAAACCAAGGACCTACCAGATGAAGGGACAACCATGCCTCCTGTCCTGGGCGGCTCCCACCAGTGCTCCCTGTACCCTGGGCCTGGCGGTGCCTATGGCTTCCGACTTAGCTGTGTGGCCAGTGAGCCTCGCATCTTCATCTCCCAGGTGACTTATGCCCCATGGACCTTGGATCTTTCCAACCGTTTGCCTCGTGATGAGCCTTCATCTGCTTCCCGCCCAAGGTCTTAGAAGGTCCAGCAACTTTTCCATGGTATCCCATGTTCTGTCACCCCTCTCTTCGCCACCAGGTGACCGTAGGAGGTTCAGCGGCCCGGGCAGGGCTGCAAATGGGAGATGTGATTCTGGAGGTGAACGGGTATCCCATGAGTGGAGAGAATGACCTGGAAAAGCTTCAGCAGCTGGCCGAGGCTGAGCCACCCCTCCACCTGAAGCTGGCAGCGAGGTCTTGCCCGGGCTCGGAAGCCTGCAACCCCCCCACGTTCGGAGAGGTGAGGAAGAAGAGACAGGTGGGCCATCAGCAGCCAGAGAAGGATAGAGAGAGTCAGCGAGGAAGGCTACAGGGTGAAGCAGTGTGGGGCACGCGGGTTGGGACGCTAGGCCATGGTAGGTGCGGACAGAGGGATCCATGGAACTAGCTGCCATTCCTGGGCATTGCAGTGCAAGTGGGGGCCGGGAAAAGGAACTCTTAGCATCCTTGAATGACCTTCTCTCTTCTCTCTCTGCTCAGGACTGGGCTCCAGCGTCAGAGCTGCTATAGTCCTCTCCTACCGGGCACAGATCTGCCCAGTGGCCTTCCTGTCTTCACTCTCCTGCTTGCAATGGTAGGAGCTGAGAAGCTCTCTTTTAAGCCAGAAGGGACAGCTCTAGGATTCTGGACACCTCCAGTCACAGGATTGCCCAGGGTCTCCCTCCCTTCCCTGGGGCCCTCCTCCCAGAAGAAGGTGTGGCCAGAGGCCTTAGGCAGGCCCACTAGGGGGAGGTTTGCCCTCTGGTTCCAGAGGAAGTCCTACGGGAGCTTTGGGAGTTGTGTTCCCATGGATGAGTGGTGTGATTTTGTGATTTATAATAAATTATACTCTTTCCCGGCACAGAGCTCCTAAAACCCTTGGAATTTCCTAAGTAGTGAAAGTGATAAAGATGTCTTCTTTTATTCATAACAAGCCCCTTTCAACCACACCTAACTTTGTTAAGGAAGTGACTTTTGGAAAGCACCTAAGGATGGCGGACTGGTTGCCAGGGGAACCAACCATGTGCTTAGAGGGTTGGAACTTTCAGCCCACCCCCACCCCCCCACGCTGGACCTCCTGGGAGGGGAGAGGTGCTGGAGGTTGAATCACTCACCAACGACCAATGGTGTCATTGATCATGCCTCCATAGTGAAGCCTCCGTGAAAAACCAAAAGGATGAAGTTCCGAGAGTTTCCCGGTTGCTAACTGCGTGGAGGTGCTGCGAGGGTGGCGCCTCCGAAGAGAGCATGGAGCTTCCGTGCTCATGCCTTGCCCACAGCATACTTGCCATCTGGCTCCTCCTGAGTTGTGTCCTTCATAATAAACTGGTAAACAAGCGAGTAAACAGTCTCTCTGAGTTTCGTGTGTCACTCTAGCAAATGATGGAACCCGAGGAGGGGGTCGTGGGAACCTTTGTTTTTGGGCCAGTGGGTCAGAAGCACAGGTGACAAGCTGGACTTGACACTGGCGCTTGAAGTGGGGATAGTCTTGTGGGACTGAGCCCGTGGCCTGTGGGATCGGATGCTCTCCTCACATCAGTAGCGCCAGAATTGAGTTAAATTGTAAGATACCAAGCTGGTGTCCACAGAGCTGTTAGAGAATTGCTTGGTGGGGGAACCCCTCCACACACACATACACACACATGTGACTGGAAGTGAAGTAGTACTGGGAGTGTTGCCATAAAATAGAGGAGGAACACAGAGTTTTCCCTTTAGAGGTGGGCTGTGGGGCTGGCTAGGATTGTTCCAGATGGAAATTGCCCTAGGCGTGACTCCTGGACTCTCACATATATTGCAAGAATTTGGAGACCAGTTACACCTTCCCTCTGCCAGCACCTCAGGATTGTGGGGGCTGGTGCCTGGTCACTATTGGTCTATTATAGAAATGGCCTTGGCCCCCACAAATCAGGCTGTCTCTGTTGGTGGGGGGAGGGGGATAGGAGATGGTGATTTGAAGGGACCAGAAGGGCCCCAGACTCAAGGCATGCGGCCCCGTTTCTCTAAGAGAGGAGTTGAGAGTTTGTCAAATTTCTCTCCTCTCCTTCGGTCTTCAGGGTAATGGGTCAGCCCAGAACCAACATGCCCCCAAAAGGAGACACTCATATCTGCCAAAAAGCCACAGACCACAGTTCTGTTGAGTTCTACATCAAGACAGCTCTATTGCTGGAGCCTCTGAGGGCCCCAGAGACTAGCGGCTTACAGCTTCAAAGATCCAGGGGGTTGAGTCCAAACTGGTGGAGCTGCTCCTTGTACTTGGCGTGAAGTCTCAGCACAGCCCTGTCCCACTGAGGCTTGACAGCTCTCAGCTTGGCCAAGAGTTGGTCCAGGCTGCCCTGCAGACACCAAGTTTCAGGCCCCAGGAAGGGAGAGGGTAGAATGAGGGGTGCCCCAGGCCTGTCTGTAAGCTTTCCTCGCTGTGTCTTCTTCAAGTTCTTACTCTTAGTAAGTAGGCATGGTTGTATTCCCCTGGCTGTCTGCCCTCAAGACAGAGCAGGGTTCCCTGTGGGGATGCTGCTTCTCCTTCCCCTGGTCTGTCATTGATGACAATGATAGCAATGAACTAGTTAGGGTCTGGGGGATGGGGGAGTGCTAGGTACTGGGGTGGTTGGGTTTCCGACGGTGGGGCTTACATGTAAGATTTCCTCATACTTGGCCTCCATGTCTGCCACGTGGGCCCGAAGCTTAGCCAGGGTCTGGTCCCGCTCTCTGAGGGCCTGCTCAGCCTCTTGCCGTGCAGCCTCGGCCTCCCTCTGGCACATCTCTGCAGGGCAAGGCGGAAGGATGAAGGGGACTGCATAGTGATGCTCTACCTGTAAACAGAGTCTCCAAAGGCATCTTAAAAAGCAGAACTTGAATGGGATCATCTCAGACTCCCCCCAGGATCATCAGTTTTCCCACAGTCCGTATAGAGTGCTGATGTACCCCATTAAGGTACAGAGAAAGTAATGGGCTTGGGACAGGGATGTGGGTCCAAAGTCTGGTTGTCACTTACTCCTTGTGTAACCTCGGACATGCCTCTCTCTGAGACTCAGTTCCTTCATCTTTAAAGACAGACCGATACAAACCTTATAGGCTTACCGTGAGTGAAATGTGAGAATGTATGGGAAAATACCTAGTATTTACAGGAGGTGTTCCATAAGTGCTGATTGAGTTTAAATTTGAGATAAGGCAAGGATTAGGAAAGGAATTCAGGGTCTGCCTGGCAGATAAGGAATTCTTGGGTATCTGTAGCTAAACTGAGGCTATTTTAGGGACGCTGACTTAGTTGGTAGAGCCTGAGACCCTTGATCTCAGGGTCATGAATTCAAGCCCCACGTTGGGCGTGGCACCTAGTAAAAAAAAAAAAAAGAAAGAAAGAAACTGAGGCTATTTTAGGTTAAGAAAACTTTGAGACTGGGCACCCGGGTGGCTCAGTTGGTTGGGCAACTCTGTTTGGCTCGGGTCATGATCCTGGAGACCCCGGATGGAGTCCCACGTCGGGCTCCTGGCTCGACGGGGAGCCTGCTTCTCCCTCTGACCCTCTCCCCTCTCATGCTGTTTCTCTCTCTCTCTCTCTCTCAAATAAATAAATAAATAAAATCTTAAAAAAAAAAAAAAAAAAGAAAACTTTTGAGACCACAATTGTGAAAGATCTTATGTGCCATGCTAAGATAGTTCAACTCTATCTCTTAACCAAGAGAGAAAGGAAAAGCTTCCTGTTCTTTACATTTTTGCTTATCTGCAAGGTTCATTCCTTTATTTAGCAATAATTATGTAGGACTTGGCATGCACTTGGCATTGAAGATACGAAAGTAGATAAGTCAAATATCTTTCCTTAGTTTCATTGTGAAAATCAGCTAGGAGGGAATATATTTCGCTCATGACAGACATGGCAGGGGTGGGGAGAAAGATCTGGATTTGGAGAGACCATCGAGAGAGGGAGATGGGGTGAGAGACTCAGGTCTGCTTTAGTTACAACGTAGAGATTTTCGCCATCTTGAGCCCTCTGCTCCAGTCCCCCATGGTGGGACAGTCAGCGGGGAAAATGGTCCAAGAGCCTAGACTGCAGTCTTCTAGAGAAGGACCATCTTCAGTCCACCCCTGCAGGCTGGACCTTGTCAGTGCACTTGAAGAGAAAGGGCTTAGGGGGCGTGGAGAAGCCTACCCAGCTGCTCCCGAAGGCCCGTCACTTCTTCCTCCAGCTTCCTGCTGTGGATCTCCATTTCCTTCTGCAGGGCCCGGCACTGACGACTCATCTCTGTGGTGGGGGCAGAGGGTGACCAGGGACCGGGTGTGGATGGAGTAGTGGAGAAATGAAGGGAAGTTGTGGGTGGGGAAGGGCCTGCTTGGCCCAATGGGACAGGAGCATAGAGACCTTCCAGAGCCTGAACACCTGGGGAAGAGCTAGGAAACCACACCCCTTCCCCCGTTCCAGCTCAGGACCTGGATTCCAGCTCTTCTCCTCACTCACTCCCAAGGCACAAATGAGACAAAAGCCATGTAATTTTTTGTAATCCACATTGCAGGAGGTAATCCACAAAGCACATGGCATCGGGCATCCTGGAAGTTTCCTGCCCGGGATCCAGGAGAGACTTTCCTTGGGTTCCTTTAGGCCCCTGCCTGATTCATGCTGAGCCAGGAAGGTTGGGGCCAGGCAGGGCAGATGGAAGTCCTCCTCGGTTCCCTTCCTTGCATCCTCTGGCCCTCCTGATTGTCCTCTTCCAGGCCCCTGTCTCCTGCCCACATGCCTGACCAACCACACACCTGCATAGATGGCCTTCCCCTCACTTCGGGCCTCCTCCAACTCAGCCTCCAGCACTTGCAGCCTCTGCCTCAGCTGCTCTTCAGAAGCTTTGGCCCGGCGGGCCTCATCCCTCCGAAGAGCTGTGAAAAGTCCCAGAGCAATCCTCACAACTGGCTGGGGATCCCACTGAATCAGGCCCCATGGGCTGGATAGACTCTGCCCACCTCAGGGAACCGGGTGGCAGATCCCCAGCCTCTCATTCTCTCTCTGGGTTGGTTGGATGGTTTTTCCCCTAGAATCCCATGAGCTCTTCATTTCTAGGAAGGAAAAGCTCCATGTTCTGCTTATAAAAAATAGCTATCCTCACCCACCCTCACTGCCCACCCCCCTTCCTTTCTCCACCAGGGGATGGAGGAGAGGTCGGCTCAGCCTCCTGCCACAGCTCCAACTGTCCAAGCCTCCAGGAGGGAAAATGCCGCATTGCCCCACCTCTGTTGTCCCAGAGCTTCCACCCTTCTTACCCAAGTGGTCTTGGAGCAGCTCCTTCTCCAGCACTGTCCGCCTGTGCGCGGACTCGGCCTCCACATCTGCCCTGGCAAGTTGGCAAAGCCTCAGCTTGTCATGATCTCAGCCTTCCTCACGTCTCCCCATCCTCAGCCCACACCCTGGACTTTCTCCCTGCAGTTCCGAGGGCCTCTAAATGAGGGATCTCTGATGGCAATCTACTGAGTTCACCCCTGTGTCCTGGCTGCCCAGCACAGAGGAGATACTCGGAATATGGGTGATGAATATATTAAGGAAGGCACAGAGCCAGAAGGGCATCATGGAGTGGGTGCATGCTGATTTCCCCAATTTCCCAGCTCCCTGGAACCTGGGCGGGGGGTGGGTCATGAAAGCTCCATCTTGCCATGCAGAGGGCTACATTCTCTCTGGAGCACCTCTACTTGGTCTCCAGGCCAGAGCATGGAGAAGCAGGAGGCACTCCCCTCCAGCCGCCCTGACTCACCAGCACCCGCATCCTCTTTCTTCTGTGCCCCGGTTTTCTTCCCTTTTTCTTTGGTCTTGGGTGGCATCTCCTTGCCGTCCTGGGGAGAGAGAGGACTCATATTTACGCCCGGGGCATGGGGCTCCTTTCCCGACCCCTAGAATGAACCAGGAGTCCCAGGAGAGTTAGAGTTCTAGTCTCCAAGTCTGTCTCTTCTACTTTCCAGAAGCTTCCATTCCTGGTCTCCTTGGAACCTTAGGCAAGGCTGGGGTGTGGGGAGGGTGGAGCTGTTTTTTTCTACCAGTCAGGTTCTATGGGCAGAAATCATTCCTCTCAATCCTCTTTTGGAGAAAATGTGTCTCAGTACTTGTCCCTTCCCTCTTCCCATCATCCTTACCCTGCCTCTTCCTACCTGTGGGATCCTCCTCTGGCCTCTGCTGTGTCTCCCTGTGGGGAGGACCCACTCATGGGGAGGGGCAGAGAAAAGGCCCAACCAGCTGGGAGCCCAAGGAGGAGCCTGGGTTCTGGGAGCCAATCCAGGGTGACAAACTTCCTTGAGGGCAGAACTGGGAACTGTTGGGTTTCTGGAGACCGAATGTTGCCCAGGTAACTGGGAAGCATGGAGCTCACAGACCGGTGGAATGTGCCAAGTACAAAGCTTAAAAGAGCAAGGTCCTGGAGGGTCGCTTCTCTCCTTATCCCTAAATCCTAAATGTAGCTTGAGGAGAAAGGGCTTCAGAGCCGGTTAGTTATGCTTCATTTCCATGTAGCAGTGCCTGAAGTTTGGAGACTTACAAATTACAGACTTACACATCTGATATGATGCTGTTGTGCTGATACAGAGGAAAAGCGCTGACAGTAGCCATTTTAGGCGATTTACATCCCTAGGGCTCATGAGCGAGCACATGACATTATTAGGCTTTGGGAAGGCATTCTATAGTGTCTGAGGGGAAGAAGAGCAGGAAAGGTAGCCGAGAGAGTTTCTCATTTCAGAGAAAGGAGACACAGAGGAGAGGTAGACCCAAGGACTCCAGGGTGCTGACATAGAGGGAGGCAAATGTAGAAGAAAGGATATTGGTTATAGACAAGAGCTGTGAGTTCTAGACCCCCTCCGGTTATGTAACCTTGGGCAAGCCATTTAATTTTGCGCAACCTCAGTTTCCTGGTCTTTAAGTCTTTGACTCTGTAAATCCTGAAAGGCCTGGATTTTCACTGGGTATTCACAGGGCTATCTTCCCTTGTGGGGACTTAATTTATTGCCTCTCTTCCCCTATTCCCTAATGTGGCTGATTTTCAGCCTGGTGCGGGGAAACTACTTTGCTAGGCTCCCCGCAGTATGGAGTTGGTCGGAGCTCCCTCTAGTGGACTTGCTTGACCTCCGGAGTCTCCTAAATTTTTCTACTTAAATTCTTGGGAGGGGTGCCTCCCTCTTGGGGATACTTCCTACCATCTTGTGGGGGTCATGAGTGGCTGGAAAAACAAATTGAGGGAAGGGAGAATGATGGGTGACTTGTCCTTGTCCCCACCGTTCTTCCAGCCCTGTGCCATTCTGGAGACTTGTCATCGGTCTGCCACCTGGATCTCTGGGCACCATACTGGCTAGAATGAAAACAGCAAAAACATCAGGGATTTTCCTCTTGTGGATCAAGGAAATTGCAGACTCTTTAGATGTTTCTCTCTCTCTCTGTCCCCCTCAACACTTTTGGTCAATTGCCTGTCGTCAGGAGCAGATCTGAAGAAATAGCTTTGAGATCTGGGATTTAAAAATCCTTCCACTGGGGAGTGGACAGATTCAGGTGGGGGCTGATTCATGTTTATTTGTCACCTTCGTGGCTGCAGGGAACTTCTCTGACCCTTCAGACATTTTACAGAGTAAAGAGAAGAACCAGGCTTGCCTTTTCCGGGGCTTATAGTTCCTGTACCCCAGGTTCAGATAACTTTGTGCACAACTCCCAAATCTGGAGAATACTTTTCTTCTGATGTTGAAGTGTGTTTTTCCTTTATTCTTCCTCCAGAACTCTTCGCCCCTGCATAGGAATGCAGTAGACATTCCTGCCGCAGTCCTTCTCCTCATCTAGAAGCCTGTTTGGGGTCATTTTCCAGGGAATGATTAGTTTCTGCATTACGCTGATGCATGGGATGACATTTTGAGGACATGGCTTACTGAATACAAACAACATAGCATGCCTCAGAAGAGCATTTACTTTTCAAATGTCTTCAGTCAACCGACTTTCAGGTGCAGAACGAGGATGTGGTTTGGGTGAAGGTGAAATGGAATAAGAAAATTGCCCCGTATCACATGATGTGATGATACAAACTGAGCTAGCTCTAGAACAAGCCAAGAATGCGAATGACATTGTGATCAACAATCCAGTCCCATCTTTAGTATACATTGAAAACAAGCCAAGTAAAAATTGTGTGTGTAGGGGTGGAGAGGTCAATCTTTCCTTCTTTTCTCATTAACTTCAGTTTAGAAGTGAAAATAGGAAAGATCATCTCAGCAGAACTCTGTCTTCCTTTGAATAGGATTCCATCTGGGAGTTTTGAAGAGATATAGAGGAGAGAACTGTCACTCTCTCTGCTTTATTCGAATGTGAGAGATAGGTCATTTGTATATGGCCTTTTCTCTTTTACAGGGCACCTGAGCGGCACAGTCAGTTAAGCAACTAACTCTTGATTTTGGCTCAGGTCCTGACCTCAGGGTAGTGAGATAGAACCCCACCCTTGGGCTCCGCACTCGGAGCAGAGTCGCAGTCGCTTCAGATTCTCGGCCTGCAACCGCCCCGCCCCCCGACGCCCCGTTTGTGTGGCTCCCGCACGCGCATGCGCACGCTCTCTGTCTCGCTAATAAATCTTAAAAAAAATTACGGTTTTTTTTTTTTTTCTTTTTAGAGAGGGGGTAGGAGCAGAGAGAGAGAATCTTAAGCAGGCTCCACACCCAGTGCAAGCCCAAGGCAGGGCTCGACCTCATGAACCTGAGATCATGACCTGACCTAAAATCAAGAGTCAGAGGCTCCCAGGCGCCCCAAGAAATATGGCTTCTGCAAGCAGAAGCGAAGTACAAATTATGCCATTACATTCTATCCAGGTGGTACTGAAGCTAATACAATTTGGAAGCCTTTAAAGGAAGCCAGAGATGTGTACATGACCCAGACGAACCCATATGGGCCCAAGGGTTAATTTCTTACCTGTATTCCATTAAATCTAGGTTTGACGATGAGGGGGAAAAATATCCTGTGTACTTACACTATGTTACGTACTGTGGAAGATCAAAGTCGAGACAGCATAGCATAAATTAATGTGAGGTAGCTGTGAGAATAAATGGTTATGGAAATTTAGAGGAGGAAAGGATTATTTCTAGCTGGAATGTCTGGTAAGAAAGAAAATATTTGAGTTGAGTTCTGAAGAATGGACTGGACTTCAGTAGCACGCTTTAGGCAGAGGGAACACTCTCAGCAATGGTGATAAAAAAAGAATTGTGGTATTTTGTGACTTGGGAGTCACCCAGCATAGGATATACGTATTGGAACAGTATAAAACTGCGAGGTAGTTTGGAGTTAGATCATGACTGTTAACTTTATCCAGGAGACAATCAGCAGCGTCTGAAGTTTTTTTCTGATGCAATCAGAACTATACTTCAGGAAGACTGGTCTAGTGGCAGAATGGATTGGAGGTGGCAGGGAAACCAATGAAGAAAAGGTTTCAATAAATAGATCAGGGGAGAGAAAGGGAGGGCCTGCAACCAGGGTGGTAGATGGGAAGTTTTGACAATTATCTAAGAGGCTTGCCTAGGTTTTCCCTTGGGAGATGTCTTCTCTTTCTAGGTAGGAACTGATTAAAGGAAATTCCACCGATAGGAAATGATAGTTGACTCCATAATCAATCTTAGGTAAAGGCCATGCTCAAGGATGTCTGGCTGATGGGTCCTTGAGTTCAGATTTTTCTCTTGTGACAGGAGCCCGCGATAAACTTAACTCCTTTATCAGTCAAGGGCTTTGTGGAAGACCCAGGTGGGGGAGCTAAGACGAAACTGAGTACTTACAGGCACACTAGAGCCTGCAAGCTCCCAAAGAGGAGGCTCAGAATTAGCAAATAAGGGCAGGGCACTTCCTTCTTTAGGAAGAAAGTTCCCTTTTTTTCAAAGTTTTTCCAGCAGAACTTTTAGATTAGAGAAGTGGAAATAACCGGGAACTGCATTTCTCTTCCATGAGAGGAGCGAGTACTCCTCTGGCCAGAGCTCACAGCTGTCTTACAGCTTCTGTGGTCAAGGCCTGGTGCTGGCGGTGCTGACCTGCGGTGCAATGCATGGAGTCCAATGCGCTGAGCTGGGGAATCTTAAGTACATACTGAATTCCCAGAAAAAGGAACTAGTGTTCAGAAGCCAAAAAAGGGGGAAGTGTTTTGTTTTCAGAAGGTCAAAGGGCCTGGAAGAAGAGCTTGCGGCCTGTCTCAAGCCTTTCTGGGCTGTAATCAGGCTTGAACAATCCGCAGCAGTCACATTCCTGTTCTTGCTGCCGATTTAATGAGTTCAAAACACCAAGGGGTGGGGAAAGAACTTCCGTTTTTCTCCCACAATGTGAAGAAACAAATGGCTTTAAGCTCAATTTCCTCATCTGTCAGGTATGGGGGAAAGACTTGACGTTGAGGTTCTTTCCACGGCTACTTGTCTTCATTTAAATATCCCAATAACCCACTCAAAGAACGCCAACCTTACAGCCCACAAGGAACATGGAGGGCTCGGCTTCTCTCTCGTGCGCAGACTCCATGCCAGGCCCCGCCCCTCCCTTCCCCGGCTTCTCCAGCAGGGGGCGCAGGCGCAAAAGTTCCGCCTGGGCCCGCCCCCGGGGGCAAGGGAGGGGTAGGCGGCGCGGAAACTTGGCCGCGGCTTTCCGGGAGCTGCGGCTCCGGAGGGGTGGCGCAGGAGCGGTCTCTACCCAGTCCGGACCAGGCCGCTGGCTTCCCCGAGCTTCGCGCGCTCCTCCCGTCCCCGGGCTCGCGCGCTCGGAAGGGGCGCGCCCGCGCGGACCCGCGCTCCCGTCACCGCCCACTCCCCTCCCCGCGGCCGCCCCTCCCTCCGCCCGGACAGCCGGCGGCAGCGGCGGTGGCGGCGGCGGCGGCGGCGGCGGCCGGGAGAGGCCCCTCCTTCACGCCCTCCTTCTTTCCCTCGCTCGCAGCGGAGCGGAGCCGGCGGACGCGGCTGAGCCCCCAACCCTCCCCGGGCCATGGCGGGCAACGTGAAAAAGAGCTCCGGGGCCGGGGGCGGCGGCGGCTCCGGGGGCTCGGGCTCGGGCGGCCTGATCGGGCTCATGAAGGACGCCTTCCAGCCGCACCACCACCACCACCACCTCAGCCCCCACCCGCCCGGCACCGTGGACAAGAAGATGGTGGAGAAGTGCTGGAAGCTCATGGACAAGGTGAAAGGCCTGCCCGGGACCCGCGGGAGCAGGGGTGGGCGTGGGCGGAGGGGCCGAGGGAGGGGAAGGAAGGGACAGAGGAAGCTGGGGGAGGGGACGGGTCATGCGGGGCTTGGGGAGGCGAGGAGTTGGGGTGACCCGGCCGAGAGGGTGGGGGGCGTGGGGGTGGGGAAGAGACCGGGAAGGTGGGGGTCGGCGGTGGGGGAAGGGCTGCGGTTGGGAGTGGGGAACGTTGAGGTGGTGTGTTTGGGGTAGCGAGACAAAGATGGGGTGGGGGCTGGGGTGAAGGTTAACTGGGGAGCCACCGGGGCGGAAGTAAAAAGGGGGGGGTGCGGAGTTTGGGGCTCTGCAGGGTCTAGGGATGTGGGTCACGAAATTGCCCCCAGGAGGGAGGGGGAGGGCGAAGAAGAGTGTGCAATTTACCGGCTGGGGTTGTTAGCTGGATGAGGAGTCGAGCTCTGACTCGGGAGTTAACGTTTATGGGCTCTGATTGAGAGACCTGGGGTCAGGACAACTCTGCAGGCAAACTGCGCTCGCAGCGAGCGCAGAGTTTTTTCTCATTAAGATGTAACACCAAGATAAAAGAAATTCGGGATGTTTAAATGGGCCAAGGAAGGAACTTTCCTCCACATCCAGCGCTGGGGCAAGTTTTTATCCTCCAAAACATTGGATGTGATCCATTGCTGGTGCTGAGATTAAACCACAAGTTCTGGTTAGAACCATTATCTTGGGAAAGATGTATTAACTGAGCGTGCTGAGCAGCAAATTCATACTCTTTCCAGATTCTGACTGCTTCCAGAACGTCCTCCTCACGCTGCTTGTAGCTGGGTTCTACTTTTTTCGTGGCCGACCTGACTCCTTGTTGCAGGACCTGGCTTTAAGCTTGTTCAATGAGCTTCTTTGATGACCTTTTTTAAAGCAAGTGTGAAAAATACCGCTTTTATATTTGGCCATTAAGTTTGGCGTTTGGGAGAATTTTACTTCTTTATAGTGTCTGTGTAATGAAATATAGTAGTCCAGAGTACTTAAAAGTGTTTAAGCATTTCCAGAGAATTCAATACAAATTCCCTTAATATTTTTCACATTCGTTAATTCATAACTTATTTTTGAAAAAATTAGAAGTATCTGGCATACTGTAAGAGAACGGTGTTATTTCATCCAGAGTAAACTTGGTTTTCTTTGGTTCCTCTCTATGTCTAGGTTCCTCTTCTGTAAGTTCTTCATGGATTGTTTTGGAGTAAAACAGCTAATAAAAATGATTATGAAACACTTGGCAAATATAAACATTCTGCATAAATGCTTAATAAGACCGGTGCGTGAATTAACACTCCTGCAGTGCATACAAGTGGTTTCAGAGCCACTTTTTCAGGGCTGGTGTTTCTCATGTTAAATAATTGGTGCTGTAATTAAAGATACAAGTATTTGTATGTTCATTATGTTGGTGGTGTAGTGCTAATCTCATCATTAGAAATCATAATAAAACCATTACAGAAAGGTAGGGAAAGGAAACTTTGAACTCATTGACACCTTTTTAAAAAAAATACCAAATGTATTCAGTATCTGAAGTGTGTAGGTTTGCATTTTAAGGATTTATAGCTAAGGACAAAAAAAGTTCTCCCGGAATAGAGAAAACATTTGTATTTTTAGTTTCTTGTGTAAGATGTATGTATGCAGTACATCAGAACTATTGACCAAAGCCCTTTCCTTAAAAATAATAAACTTTTTCTTAAACTTTTGAATCTCTATAAAGTAGTTCAAATAAGATCCTTCTTTAAATTTTATTTCTTTATTTCTTAAAGTATGTGTATGGTTTTTTTTTTTTTTTTCAGAATATTTAATTGGGAAGAATAAAGAAGACTCATTTTGAGTGCTTTTCAGGTTTTGATAGTTTCAGGGAGAGTAGGTGCCTAGCTTTTCCTTTCCAGTGTTGGGAGAGAGGGATGTTTTATTCTTGTGTTGCTTGTCCTGGAAGGTAATTTTTAGTACTCTTCTGTGTCCCATATCACATATCAACTAGTCCTACTGAAATAAAACTTAGTTCTTCTTTCTGATACATTCGTCTGATAGGTTCATACTGCTCTCCAGATTTTGAGTACTTTTGTAAGTATTAAATTGAACTGTCTCTTCTATGCTTGCATAGATGGTCTTTTTTCACTTTTTTATTGTTAGAGTCTTAAATGTGTCAGTAACCCTTGACTTCATGCAGTATGATGTAAGTGGTAAAGAACTTAACTGTCAGATCCACAAGTGTCCCACACGCTTACTGAATTTGCTTCTAAGTCACCTTCTCTTTCCTGTTTTGTCCTGGTTATTGAAGCTAGGTGACTGTTATTCCAGTCTATTAATAATCAATTTATTGACTTAGCACTGGGAACTGTTGGTGTCCTCCCCTCCCCCAATATTGAATATGTGCAGATGGAGAAGTTGGCATAAGTCATGGGTTCTGGTCAACATAGGCCTGATTTACTAATCCATTGTGGAACTTAAACTCATTGTTGGGAAAATGCTCGTGCTAGAACACTTGTTATTTCACAAAAGATATGGTCAGCCTCTGGGGGTTTTTTGTGCTAGCCTAGGATCTTGTAATTAATATTTATATAAATACTTGGGTGTGAAGAAAGTGGCTAGTAAGAGACAAGTGGGCAGGGGAGTGGAGAGAGAAGTCCTATAAATTGCCTTAAATGTCAACTTGGAAGTATTTTTTTTTTAAGATTTTATTTATTTATTTGACAGAGACACAGCAAGAGAGGGAACACAAGCAGGGGGAGTGGGAGAGGGAGAAGCAGGCTTCCCGCCCAGCAGGGAGCCCGATGCGGGGCTCCATCCCCGACCCTGGGATCATGACCTGAGCCAAAGGCAGACGCTTAACGACTGAGCCACCCAGGCGCCCCTCAACTTGGAAGTATTAAAGTATTTAATTTGGTGAGAGATTCAAAATTCTGTTTTGTTGTTGTTGTTTCCAACATTCTGTTATGAAGTAGAGCAGGAGGAGTTGGCAAACTTTCTGTCGAGGGGACAGATAGTAAATATTTCAGGTTTTGCTGGACCCACTTAGTCTTGTTTTCTTGTTGTTTTACAAATCTTTAAAAATGTAAAAGCCATTCTTAGCTTGCAGCTGTACAAAAAAGGCTGGAGGTTGTAGGTTGCCCGCCTCTGAAGTAGAGCAACATGCTGGCTGTATTTTAGGCCTATACTGTGTTTTTATTTAGAATCATCTTATATCATTAGAACATTAAGATGTTCATTTTTTTTTAATAATTTTTTTATTGTTATGTTAACCACCATACATTACATCATTAGTTTTTGATGCAGATGTTCTTTTTTTTTTAATGGGATATAATTTATAAAAATTTATGGGGCGCCTGGGTGGCTCAGTTGGTTAAGCATCTGGCTCTTGGTTTCGGCTCAGGTCATGATCTCTGCGTCATGAGATGGAGTCCTATGTCTGGCTCAGTGGGGAGTCTGCTTGAGGATTCTCTCTCCCTCCCTCTGCCCTCTCCCCCCCGCCCCCCCCCCCCCCCCCGGGTGCATGCGCTCTCTCTCAAATAAATATTTAGAAAAAGAATTTATAATTCCCTTATGATTTATGAGGGAAAAAAGCTTCCTTTTAAGACATGAGTTTAAAAAAGTATTTTCAAAAGGTGATTCTTCCTTTTGCTACCTATCTTCTGTTTGTCCTACCCCCCCCCCACCAAAAGTACCTGAGTAACTTTCTTTAATTTGGAAGTAAGGTGTATTAAATAGAATTTATGATTCAGTGTATTTCATTGGACTACTTCCTCCTTCCTTCTCTTCCTTCGCATACTGAGTCCCAAGCATAGTTACTAGGTGTGAATTCTTACCTTCTGGGAGATTAGGGACCACATAAGTGTGTACAAAGTGATGCAGGATCTCTTTAAGTTTAAATGTAGTGTACATATTTCTTCAGTGTTTATCTTAACCTCTCAAGATTGTAAACTCCATGAGGACAGCAACTATAATCTGCTTATCTCCTGCAGTGTCCAGTCATGAGGCTTTACACAATAGTAAGTGCTTTGTAAATATTTAAATTGCTTCGTATGTTCCAAAGGAATAACTGAAAAGAAAAGGTGTAGGGGTGGGAATAAATTTTAATTACATTAAACTTATTTTTCACAGTAGCCCTTTGGTGGTATCATGTCTGTTTTATAGATGGAGACAATTAGGCTCAGAGAGGTTACGTAATTTAGTTAGTGGTGGAGCCTGATGTGGAATCCAGGATTACCTCTCTCCTAAGGCTTAGTTATTCCCTCCATATAGTACCTTCTCAGGTATACAGCAAAGCTTCCGTAACAGAAAGCCATTTATTCAGAAAGTGACCTGTGTAGGCATAAAACAATGTTCACGCACACACGTTCCGCCATTCACACACTCAAGCAGAGTAGACCTTCTCTTGAATGATATTAGGATAGCATTTAATATCATTCAGTGAAATATCATCTGTTATCTACTTTCAGGTTAAGGGTTTGTGTCTCTCCAAATTATGTGTACTGGGTACTTTGCATGGTGATCACAGCGGCTTGTACATTTGATTTTCCCATTATACTCAGTGTATGTTGTCTGTGGTATCATTTATCACTTTTTTTTCCATCTGTTTTACCCTCCAGTAGAGCTCTTCAGGACCAAGGCTTTATCTTCATTTCAGGTCCTGGGCCTAACATGTGGTACTTGGTGAATGAAGTGCAAACATTTAACAAAATAAAATGAGCTCAAAACATAGTCCCTCTTCATTCTCTGTATGATAAATTGGGAATCAGGTAGGGAATCTCTTTTTTTGAGTGCTGACTTGAAGTATTATTTACTCAAAGTAGTTTTACCTTTCTCGGTTATAAAGGTAATATATAGTCATTGTAAAACATGATTGTGCTGTTAAGACCTCCCCCAAAGGATGTAAAATTCTTCCTAATTCCTTATGAAACACGAGCTCCCTTGAACATTTTCACATGATTCGTGATAATTTGGAAGGTATATAGAAAAAAAGT